CGAAGAATTTATTTTGAGAATCAGAAATATTAAAAAAACGCGACAAAATTTTTTTCCTCTGGATGAAATTCCAACGTGCGCTTCTAAGATCAACGCGCATCCTTTGCTAAACGAATGAATTCATATACACGTTTTGCTGCCAGATTTTTATTGACGTGATACAGACGGGTGTACATCTGAGCCTCAATAAGCGCGAGTTTAATCGTAAATCAATTATGCGAAAGATCTTAGATCTTATATTCGTCAATAAAGTTATAAAATCTGCAAACAATGCAAAAATTTGCGCATAGTCCCTCGTGATCGAATATAAATGCATTGCGTCGCTTCGCTAATGATCGGATGAACACTTTCTCGAAAACGCAACAAAATATTTGCTCCACGAAATAAGCTCGCACAAATCGCATGTGACAAAACTGAAATTTAGCAATTATATGTAAAATCAAAAGCTATAAATTAGTTTTTTGTTTTGAACAAGAGAAGTTGAGACACGTAGCGATAAAATATTGAATGAATTTCCAACACGATAAAGATAAGTTTAATAATTTTCTTCTACGGTTTTTGTTTCCTTTTTAAGAAATAGAGATGTTAAAAAAAATCAATATAAAGTAATATGTAACAAAAGTTTCTCTTGGTGTAAATTTTCAAAAGGAGGCAAGCAAGTTTGAAAGAATAATATGATGAATCAACAATCTCTGAATACATATTAGAAACCATTTAATTTTTTCCCTACGCGTTGTGGAAAATATGACGGCTCCGTATAATTGTTAATTACCGCGAGGCCGCAGGGGGAAGTGATCCGCGCAGTTCCTTGGGCCTAACGCACCTACGGCATTACCGAGTTCAAGACACCGCGGACATACACGTACAATTACACATACACACATACATTTACACATTCTCGAGTCTGAAGTCTTACTATGAGTTTGCGAGCCTACGAACGAATTGAATAATGGCCGTTGCACGCCGAGAAGGTGATTTTCGCTAGTGCCAATAACCAGACGAAGAAGAAGTTAATTACCGCGAGACATATGCTAACGAACCGTCGTAAGCAAATTCCTCGAAACGTTCGCTACAAGAGAAAACGAAAACAATTTTGGGACAAGAACGGAAGCGTTCGTTTGATCAGCATCGTCGTCATCGTCTTCGTTTCCGAAAAGATGTACGTACTCCACTAATGCCCGTTTCTACCAATTTGTGGTTAACTACGGTTTAGTGAAACTTTGGTTAAAATTAACTTTCAGTTTAATATTGATTGGTTTCTACGAGTAAACTATCCGGAACGTTTAGCTAAACTTATAACATGTTTGATATAACTCTGAAAGCATTAGAATGTAGAACGTTGATTGGTCCAATAATCGTTCTAACGGAACTGTGATTACTGTGGTTTAGGATTATTAGGTTAGGAGAATCATATCTTGTCAAACGAAGAAGTGTATAATTAATAAAATGAATGCAGCAAAATTAAGTGTGCAACGGAAACGTGCCCAAAATTTTTCCGAAAAGGAAAAACTAATTTTAACAGAAATAGTATTGAAGTATAAAAATATAATAGAAAATAAAAGAACTGACGGAGTAACCTCAAAAGATAAAGAAAAGTGTTGGAAGGTAATAGAAAATAATTACAATAGTACATCTTCTTCAACTGAATTTAGAAGTGCGGAAGTCCTCAAAAGTTGTTGGGAAAATCTTAAAAAAAAGACACGAAAATTTTTCGCTGATGAAAGGATACAATTATATAAAACAGGCAAGTAAAATGTTGGTTGATATTTTGGTGTAAAACTATAGAGATATTACATATCAAAATAATTATTTCATAATTTGTAGAAGTATATAATTGTTTACAAGTAATAAGTAAGTATAATGTATATTGTAATAAAAGTTATGATTGAAAAACTAGGTGGAGGACCTTGTGAATCCCAAACAGATGTAGTGCTGGAACGTGTACGAGACATTATTAAACCTTCTGTTGAAGGTATTAAAAGTGATTATGATTGTGATGCTATAGAAGGTAAAATATATACGTATAAAATATATGCACAGTATAAAGCAATGTTACGATTCTTTCTTATTTTAAAGCTCATTAAAATGAACGATATTGTAACTTTTGCTAGCTAGTAATATGTGAAAAAGCTGAAAATATGTTAAATTATATTTATGTATATTATACAGATGTTTATACAGATCAAAGTACAAATGCATGCAAGATACCTACAAAGACAAATTCATGCGAGACGTCATCAGATTCTATTGAAATGGACGAGTGGCTTCCAGTTGATGACAATGACAATGATCAAGATGATGTTCTACTTGTAAGAGATGTAATAAATATTAAAATATATTATATTGTATATTATATATATATATATATATCTGTTGCTCAAATGTATTAAATACAAATTAATATAAATTTGTAGTACTTACAAGAAAATGCTGGTGCTATGAGACAAAATTCATTTGATAATGTATCAGATGGACATGAAATGACAAACTACGATAAGGAAAATGACATAATTGGAAACGATAGTGTATCAGATGTTAATGGAAATAGCTCGGTTGTAAGTCTGAACAAAATTTTTATGTGCATAGAAGTGTACGTTACATTATTTATCTTTGTATTTATATACCTTTTTGTTGCAGTTTATGAGAGAGAATAATACACAACATTGTCTTAAGAAGAGCAATATACAAAATATAAAAAAACCAGAAAAGCAAGACGTACAGAACACATCCGCAGTACAAATATTAAAACGAAAAATAAGTACTCCACTTCAAGTAAAAAGCAATGTTTTAAATGATCAATATAAATCTAGGAAACTTAATAGACAAGACAATAAACCATATAAGAAAAAAGAAGAAACTATTACTTCAAGAATGTCACAATTTGACATGTTAACAGATTCAAAGATCAAGCTTACAGAATGTATGACAGACGATTTTAAAGCAAAACGTGAAATAGAGATGCAAATTTTAAGTACGCGATTGAAGAAAGAACAATTAGAAGTACAGATATTAGAAAAAGAGTTGTTATTACAGGAGCATAGATTACAAAGAGAGGTGCAACAAAACAAGTCATTTAACGTTTCATAGAAACAAATTTTATTTTTAATTCGTTGAACTAAACAGTGAGATAGTATTGAAAGACTGATCAGAAAGACTGATGATATATAAATAAGTTATAAAATATATTAAAAATGAAAATTAGTTAATTTAATTTATGTTTTGTTCTTACTTCTAAATAATATATTAATTTTATTTTTGTTCGATCAGTCTAATACAAAGCTACGTTACATATATAAGAACTGTTTCTTTTTTTACAAAAAGTTTAATTTATGTTTTGTTCTTACTGCAAAATAATATATTGATTTTATTTTTGTTCGATTAGTCTAATACACAGTTACGTTATATATAAGAACTGTTTCTTTTTTTACAAGAAGTTCAATTTATGTTTTGTTTTTACTGCAAAATAAGATATTAGTTTTATTATTTTTGTTCAGTGTAATACAAAGTACTTATAAAATAATACATGAGTGCTTAGAGAGAGAGAGACAGAGAAGAGGAAGATATTTTCTTGATAATATACTTTATTATGTATAAGTAAAAAACGTATATAATATATGTGCAATGTAACTTTAAACTGTATCTTATTCAAATAAAAAAAGTGTTACAAACATCAATATTATTTAAATTTGGAATTTCCTTAATATGCACATAAAAATAAAACAGAAATGAGACAAATATATCACTAAATATCTAAATATATTTTTAGGTTTTCGCATTTCCTGTTCGATATCCTTATGCAGTTTATACTCTACACATATGCAAAAGGATAGAAAGTTTCTTTGACTTTTTAGATGTCTTTCATTCATGTGTGTTAATTGTGAAACGTTTCAGGGTAGATGTATTGTTTCCTCACTTTATTATACTCTAATGCTGGAAAAAATATATTTCTTATAATAATAGAGATATTTTATAAAATTATTATAATTTATATAGGGTAATTTATAAAGTTAAAACTTTTGAATTATATATAATTTATGCACACACGTACATACATCAGCGTGCGAACACATACATACTCATACAATCTAATAGAAATACAAAATTTTAATATACTATATGAAAATATTTGTAAACAAACATACTTAGCAAAATAAGTATGAATCAGTTCTGTTCTTACTGTTGCACCAGCAACTTCGTCATTATTGATTCTCTGGTTAATGTTGCATTCGGCTAGCATATGATCCCATGGTAAATCTAAATTTGGATCGTCATCTGGTTGTGGGTCATTATTTTGTCTAGCAATATTGTGAAGCACTGCTGTTGCAATAATAATAGGCATGACTCTTTGTAAGTGATATCGCATTCCCAATGCTAGAATTGGAAATCTTCTTTTCCAAACACCAAATAGACGTTCTATTATATTGCGGGTACGAATATGTGATTCATTATAGAGTCGTTCTGCAGCAGTTTGTGGCGTTATCAGTGGAGTTAGAAGATACCGCTTCGAAGGATATGCGGAATCTCCTAACAAAAAACCGTTACCATATGCGGCATTCTCAAAATTTGCTCTCAAGCGACTATTATTAAAAATTGTACTATCGTGCACAGAACCTTGCCAACGAGCAACTATATCTGTTATTTGTAAATTGCTGTTACATGTTGCTTGCGTATTTATGGAAAAATATCCTTTTCTATTACGAAATAACTCAGCATCTTCTCCACCTACAATAATCAAAATAAAAGAACATGTAGTAATAATTATATAGTAGGCAAATCAATGTAAATAATATAATAGTATTTTATATAGCAATAATTTACCAAATGATTGGACACGGATATGTGTGCAATCTATGCATCCTATCACTCTTGGGAAACGCGCAATTTTATAGAATTGTTGTTGTTCCTTTCTTATTTCTTCTTCCGTGTTTGGAAAATGAATATAAAGAGGTCGTAATCTAGCAATGGTTCTACTGACTCTGTGTACAATATAATGTGCTGAAGTTGTGCTCACACCTGAGAAATTTCCAGCAGATATAAGAAATGATCCAGTGGCATATACACGAAGCGTCAATAACAATTGTATCATGGGAGATATCGCTTTATTTCTAAAAAGAAATTATTGTATTACCTTTACGTTTACTAGAATTTATATTTGCAATTATAAAATAGTTTCTACTTACTTATTTGTTGCAAATTCTAATTCTTCTCTTATGTGTTGTAACACTGATAACACAGATCTTTTACTTATTCGAAATCGCATTATGAATTCGATGTCATCAAGCTCTTCCAAATAATTAATGCGATGTTTAAATCTTTTCCTTCTTCTGATCGGTCTCACATTCACAATATCTTCATCATCAGAAAACAACAAGTTTAGTAAATGCTGGGGCATCATATTTCCTACGTATAACTTCTATATTATAAATTATGAAAATTTCTGTATCATGAAAAATGTTTACATCAATTTTATTATTATTATTACTTTTTTATTTACTTTATATTTACCTCAATTAATATATTTACTTTATCCAATATATATATCCAATATATAACCTCATTAATAACCTTACATATAACCTTATCACACAATTTTTGTCTGCAGAACTAGCTAGTTATATTTTTTAACCGTAGTTTAACAATGCTAAACGGTCAATATTGATCGTTTAAATTAAACTGGATTTACGTGCGTTTAAACGTGAATTTATCATTGGTAGAAACCAATATTTTTGGCAAACTTCGATTAACCGAATGTCACTAGGGATTAACGTTTAAACCGCGTTGGTAGAAACGGGCATAGATAAGATAAATCATAATTATTCTTGATATCAGCATTTGCGGCATCCTAAAAGTCCCGCTGGATAAACACTAGATACTTGTAGCATCCGAGTTTGATTTAGTCGGGCAACGTGAATAACACAGTTTCACGTTTACCCGTCTCTGTGAAAAAAAACGCGACGATTACCTTTTTCCTTTCTTTTCAAATCCTATGTATACTTGTAAACTTATAAATGTATAAAAACGATTAGACAGTAACAAAATACAATTTCTTTATGATTCTCAAAATAATCTTTTTGGATTTCTAAGCACAAAGAAAGACATCTCTTTTGCTTATGTATTATTCGAAAAATCATGCAATGATACCCTTCATGGAGTGCAGTAACGGCTGTCGCATACTGGCAATGGAAACGAAGACGAGAGCGAAAACGGATAAAAGATTGAAACGCACTCGGAAGGGAAATGAAAGCACCGCGAGCTTCCTCTTCTCGACGGTCCTTCGACTTTATTCGCGAGGCAACGATACTTTACGCAAATATCCAGTATTCTGTATACAATCATAATTAGCTAATCATCCGTCGACGAAACATATCGCTCGCGAACAGCCACTTCGGCGTAAACTGCACGTTTATGCGCGTTCTCGCGTATCTCAATCACTATATATAACACTATATATAACACTATATATCACTATATATAATACATATATTACTATATATAACAAGCAAATATATATATATATATATATAAAACATTCTTTTTGAAACAGAAATTGAAATAAAAAAAGACATCTTTTGCGAGGTTGCTATTATATGCTTGAAAAATACATATGATATAAAGGCACAAAATAAAAAAAGTATGCAGAATTATTCTTATTGTTAGTACAAAGTAATTGGCTCATGATCCTGGAGACGTCCCATGTCCGTGATATCGTCATCGTGGACGGGGCCTGGGGCCCACAGAAAAAATAATAAAAATAATATGTATGTGCGTATGCATATGTATGTGCGATTGCGTATGCGTGTGCGTGTGTATGTATATCTATGTTGAATTGCATTACTGGTTTTATGTAATATTATTTACTTTCGACAGTAACAATAAAAAAAATAATATATCATAATATATTTTATTTATATATGTATTTTCGTTTATATTTCCCAACATTTTATCAACGAAATAATAAATAGAGTTTCTTGTCCTAAATAACATTATCGTTTTTCTTTCTTCAAATATACCCTAGAATCCTAACACCACACTTCCAAAAAATCCTGATTTTACCATACTAAGTGTACGCTACCCAGTGTACTAAGAGAGAGAGGGACAGGGATGGAGAGAGACAGAAAGAGAGAAAGAGAAAGAGGAATAAATGGGTGCATGCAAATTACATACATAGGAGAGAAAGGAATAATACGAGAGATATCTGTCCTTGTCTAACGAGGCATCTGTACGACATATATCTGTCAAAATTTGTTCTTTGAAACGGCTTTATAGATCGCAAAATTTTTTTACAGGAGTAAAGTATAGGTACTAATAAAGAGTTGTTTTTTCCATGTGCTCCCTAAGTTACATAACAGTTACAAACTGGTTTACTGGGATTATGTTATAATAATTAAGAATTTTATTCAGTTTTGTTATCTATATATACTGTTCATCAGCTGCCGTTACCCTCTACTCTGATGCTAAGACTGAGGTATATTTTTCTATATAAAGACAGAATAAAATTAGTTATATAAATCAATACTATAAATTTAATATTTATTGCATTTGTTATAAAAGTTATTATTTTACCCCCATCAAGAATGAATAGATCCTTTAAAAGAGTTTTACATCATTCATTTACATTACAAGAAAAAAATTATTAGAGAGGTGCAAGAGATGCAGTAAATTGCCAAGTCTAATAAGTACCCGCGTCAATACATATACTATGTATACTAATTCACATTCTCAATTATGCTACTGTTATTATTTGTCATCAGACAATTATAAACATACACATAATAATTAGATACATATTGTTCGCGATCGAACAAAAACCAGCGTCGGCGAATCTACACCACGAATCTAAGAAAATCGCTATTTCAAAATAATTTCGGTTTTTCTGCCTTTCAGAGTAAAGTCGACCAAATTCGCAGAAATATCTGTATATTTCCTAGTATACACTTGAAGGGCAGAAAAACAGAGTTCCACTGTGGCCTATATTTACTCGCTCCTTTGTCTCGAGGACTCGGTGCGCGAAGCATACCCCGGGACAAAGCGAGCAAATAATATTTCAAAACAGCTGATCGGTGGCCGGCCTCGAGTTCAGCGTGACGTGCGTCAATACTAATTTCTCGAGACGCCGACAGCGGATTGGCTCAGCTGAATTTTCGGCTCGTTACCGGGGGTCCGGAGGATTCGAGAGAATTTGGAAGTCGTGGGAATAAAACTCCGGACCTTCGCGCGCGAGCCGGCAATCGACGAAAGTTTCTCGGAGCGAGCGTGTTAAAGTAAAGTCACTCGCATATTCGTTGCTTACGATCATCGAGTTCTTATTTTCACGCGCGGGAATAGCTGTCGTTCGCGTGTATTAAATACTTGTAAATAATGTACATTCTTGTATTATAGACATTTCACAACAGAAGACTTTCTACGAATCTTAATTCCTTCCTTCCCGCGACTCCTTCAACCATTCGCGCACACATATTATATATATACATATATACATGCACATGTGTGCATAAGAATATATGTAATTTATAAAAAGCGGGTGCTTATCAGGCTTGATACGTTACTGCCTTCTGCTACGGACGGCAAGAAAGCATTTTCAGGTTCAGGCCGTATTGCTAAAGAATCCATAGACGCGGCAACGCCGCGCGGCGTTGCCGCGTCTATAGCATGTCTCTCTACCGTGCGTCCGTGTGAGCAATTCAGTGGTGTGTGTACGTGTACGGACATACACCACTTCATAGAACCTGAAATAAGTTGGTAACACTGAAAACGGAGTTTCGCGTTGTCACCACGCGAGGTGTCCAATATCAGTTCGGACTTTGCTTTAGTTGACAGAGTTGACATTACCGACGTCGAGGAAGTTCGGCCTTAGCTTTAGCATCCCCTTAATTCTCTTTTATTTTCAGGTTCTCGACGCTGGATGTCTCGCCGCCCCGACGCTGCCTCCGCCGATGGACAACGTGGAACCAGGAACCACCCACCGACGGAACAGGTAAGTAGAAAATGTGTATGTTTATCTAATCGACCAATTTCCTTTTCAGTTTCTCGCCCCGGATGGATCTCGACTGCCGCTGACTGTCCCAGATCCTCGCCTTATCGCATACTGGAACGCCGCTGGACAACGATGGATCGATGCCGTGAGACAAGGTAAGTCGCAGGTAAGTAATTCAAATTAACTTGACACTGCGTATATTAACAAACGATTGATTTATTTTAGATCGTCGTAGTTGATTACAAAGATTGTCGCGCCGTATGCGCTTCACGCTGACACTTTTTGTCGAACGTTGTTATAAATGGTAAGTATTTACCGCTCGCAATATTTATACGAGTTATGTTTAACGCGAATGTACGCGGAAGTGCTTGGTTGTAATATATCGCTGCGCTAAACTACGCGCTAAGTCCGTATTGTACGAGCGAATCTTAAGTACGTGTTACCTCGACCACGATATCCAAGCGACTCCCTTGAGTTGCCGGGCTCTCGCGGCGTCCCCACTTCGGGACCGTCGCTCCCACCATCGGTACCTACTGCGTCGCAGTACTTTTCCACGCCAGATGGTGAACGTTTTCTCTTTTCTTTCGCTATTTTTTCGGTGTTTTCGCGTTCGCTGTTGCCCGTGGTTCTCATGCCGGGCTTCGCAAGTGTTCGCACGCATACGCATGAGCCCTCTCGGACCCCGGGCCCCTGGTTCCTGAGTCTGGAGTTTGTTCGGCCGTGTGGTCTCGCTGCTCCTTGGGATCCTCCCTGGCGCCTTCCCCAGTGACGCTCCGTCCGCTAATTCCCGTCGGACGGTCGCGGTTCCCGCGTTCCGGGGGACATCGCGTGTCCCGGGTATCTCGGCCCCCGGCTGCCGGAGCGCGCCTCCGCCTGTGTCGCCGCGCCTTTGGAGGGCCTCCGAACCCTTTCGACCCCTCCGCTTCCGGATCGGACTCTCGTACCCCGATTTCCGGGGGACATGCCGTGTCCTCGCTATCTCCGCGCCCGGTGGTCCTGGCGCGTCGCGGGTCTGGTGATTGACCTTGGGGTCTCCCCTTGGGTGGACTCTGTTGTTCGGTCCCCGGCTGGGACCGTCGTACCCCTATACGCGGGGGACATTACGTGTCCCCGCTATCTCCGCGCCCGGTGGTCCCGGCGCGTCGCGGGTCGGGTGGTTGATCTCGGGGGCTCCCCTTGGGTGGCCTCCGTGGTCCACCCTTCGGCTGGGACCGCTGTGCCCTCGTTCGCGGGGGACAATCCGTGTCCCCGCTATCTTGCGGGCCCTTCGCCGGATTTTCGCCGCGACCGGTCCTGTCTCCTCCGCTCGGGTCTCCTGTCGGGGCCCGATCGTTGGCTCGTTCGGTCATCCCCTTCCGGCTCGTCTACCGGGGTCAATAAGGCCCCGGTTCTTTTACTTGTCGCGCCGCGATCTTCTACAAGGAACGCTAGCCATAAGGGTTTTTCGGACTCGCCTGTCCGGCATTTAACATAATAAAATACGGGTTTTTGCCGCTCCCATGGTCGCTGCTGCCCCTTGGGTGTCCCCGGCTCCGCGGCTAGGCGAACGGTTGCAAAGTACATAACGAATTTCTTTGTACGTTGACATAAACTTCGACTTATGTCGAATGTGGCCCAGATGAAGAAACCATTTACCATAACCTCCTGTTGTTCAGAACGTTAATAAAATCACATCAGTAAACAACTTACCATCATCGTTCCATACGATCAGTTTATTATTCTCAATAAGTGGAGAACCATTCTCCGTGACCAGGA